CTTTATTCCCAGAATCTTAATATCGTGAACCCGTTTTGTATTTCCCAGGACTTCAATAACAGGTTGGTTACGTAAAATTTTTAAGTTATAATTCAGAACGTAATTAATGCACCAAACGCAAAATGGCCCCTAAAAAGTGATGTTCACTGGTTAGTGGTCTAGCGCCGGCCATTCATAACAGCTTCTTACAAAACGGGATGAGCGTTACTGCAGACGTGTGCTGTGAAGAACTGAACACAATTATAGACAACCTCGCATATCGCGAACCAGCTTTGGTCAATCATTCAGCTCCGCTGCTCCTGCACGATAACACATGACCTCATATTGCACACTATACGGTCTCCAAATAACAAGAGCTGGGCTTGGCAGTTCTCCGTCATCCACCGTACTCACCAGAACTTGCCCCTACAGACTACTATTTTTTCCAGAATTTGGATGACACCTTAGCGGGGAAAAAAAATAATAACCGAGAGGCAGTTCAAAATGCCCTTCAAGAATTTGTTGCCTCCCGTCCAGCAGATTTTTCCAAAAAAGACATCATTAAGCTACCACTACGTTAGCAAAATTTGCATGGGTAATAATTATTTTGATATATAAACTAAAAACTATAGAAAAAAGGGCGTTAATTTATTTCATTGAAAATAACAATTTCTTAAGTAAAGACCTAATATAAACATTTTGAATAAGAACATATCATGTACTCCTAAATAACAGCTCTAAAAAACAAAGCGCCTATTCTGGTTTTGCATATAGTAAGATATTTGATATCCATAGTTTTAGATTATTATTATTTTTACTACTCTAGTTTAACTCAAGTCTTTATCATTATATTTTTGGGTATGTTGATCTGTACCTTATTCGTATTTTTATATATAATCTAAGATCTCAAGCATATTTTTTGAAAACTGAGCCAACTAAAAGTTTTAACGTCATAATCTTTGTATAGTACTTTAAATATCTGTATGTCTTTTATTTTGCATCAAGTCCTCAATAATATTTATAAAGTTGTCTTTTATCTAACTAAAGTTTTAAGGTTCAGTTTTCATTTACAATGACTAAATTGATGTTGACCATATACGACCACTATAACTACATCATTAATCAAATTGTTATTGTATCCGTTAATCAAATAATGGATCAGAAAACCTCATCAACGTTAAAATATTATCTGTTTGCTCCCAATAATGAACTTCTTTAAAAGTTAACTTATAATAATATAATCAGTTCCTGACAACGTAAATCAATTAGTTTGAGTCTCAAACAAAGCTCTGCTTGTGCAATGGGTTAAGATAAGAAGAAGTAAGGAAATATCATGACTAGGATGAGACGTCATAGGATGAATACGGAACAACCCTCTGCTTGACTGTAAGATCTTATAAACGACATAAATATTTTAGATTCAATGCTTTAAGAATGAATTCTTTATTCCATTAAGAAAATATACAATTATGATTAGAATACAGAATAATAATTTAATTTGTATTCCAGTTGGTACTTCAGTATTCTTATTTGAGTATACTGTTCAATTTGATCATGAAGTCGTTAATGTAATAACATTTAAACAAAGCAAGTTATGTTGTTTCGAAAACGAGCTCCGAAAAAAAGGTATACAAAACAAATGCCAAAGGCGTTCAGTGTGGGTTGTGTAAATATAATTTTATCACGCTAATAAAAGGCGATCCAATTAAATCCAAATTTATGTTACCTCCCCGTGTACAAACAACACCATTATTAAGACTAGGCTTTAAAAAATGCCAAATTTCTTTAATGAATTCTTTGTCCGTGATATTTACATTATTTTTTTTTAACCAACGCTGACAGTTTTTCATTCGGGTGTTTATGAACGCTTAAATTTTGTTGTATTTCATGGGGTATTTATAGGTGCAAATAAAGATTTTTGAGAGAATGTTACTATACGGTTATTATTTACTAAGCAATGGCAAAATTTCGGCAGCTTATGTGACGTATAGGTTGCCCAGAGTAATGACCGACGTTTTTCCAAGCAAAGACCAGTATCATCATTCGGTTCGATTTCTATATGTTTTTACAAAAAACTCTTTTAAAGATACTAAATTCATATCGAAGATATGTGTATCAATATCGTTGGCGTTGCCCTGAAACTCAGATAAAGCATTTGTGCAACAGTTTCCAAATCGCGCAACTTTTGTTTATGAGAAACACACTACCAGTCCACCCAACTTCAATGCGGATACTTTACACAAACATTAATCAGGACGCCTACGTTATAATAATATGATAATAATAATAAATGTTTATTTCAGGCACAATAACCCATATTAAAAATTACAATTGCATTTTGTCCCATTTTATCTTAAAATTAAATCGTTATATCACAACTCGCCAATTATTCTTACTAAATTCAAAAAATAATAATAAAAAATAATAAAATAAAATAAAATATAATCATTACTGAATTTTAAATAATAATAATAAACAATCAAAACTATATGACATAGTTTTATACATAACATTAAATAAAATAAATTATTAATTCATATAAATTATTAAAATTTTGCATTGAACTTTGTAAACATTGGCGATACGCAGATAACAGACAGTAAATAATATTTGTAGAATCAAAGAAAGTACGAAAAAACATCACTCATACTAGCAATGATCATCCTTCGCATTCTTTCAGTACGACGCGCCTCTGAGAATCGCTTTATTAGTTTTTATTCTAGTTTTCAGATGGATATAAAGTAGTTCATTTTTTTAATAGCTTTATTATGAATTTTATTCTCCTTAGTTTTAGGGTCCTTTTCATAAAATTAAACGTACTTTGTGCCGCTGCTGTTCAAATTTCCATTCAAAATTTGACACTGACATTTCGGTTTGCTAACTATTCGAATTTGATAATGGTTCGTGCTAGGGGTACAGACAGTGCAATCCACGAAGATGCACCCAACCAATTTTTGGTTGAAGGATAATTAGTGATAAAAAGGTAATTAGATAATTATCATATTATTATTTATTATTATCATAGATAATTAGTGTGTACCGATAACACTCAAATATTGGCGGAAGCTGGCACACATTTACTATAAACGGTTAGGAGGAATAGTGGCGTGCGTCTTCGTGGATTGCAATATCTGTATATACGAGAGTATAGAGAAAAACATCACATTCATTGCTCTAATGCCATAATTAGGAGAGTAGTAACCTCCCGACCGGGCCGTAGCCGTAGAGGAGGGCATTATAGGGCACTGGCCTTCTTCAAAATACCATTGCCCTACCTTAAACGGTGCGGCGGCAGGCTGCGAAGGGCGACACGTCCCTGCTTATGCCCTACCTTTGACTAACACTGCCATAATATATCTTAAATACAACTCTGGCTACGGCCCTGCCTCCCGAGCTATTTTACACAATGGTGGTTCCTTTGGGGTTTGTCTGATCGACCTTGGTTTCCACACACTTTACATTTTAAACTCTGATGAAGGTCATTAAAAAAAGTAGTGTTTTTTTTGCATGCAGTTCATTTTGGAGGTGAGGTCAACTCGGTAACTGCATTAGTACTATCTTAAAATAAACTAGCCTCATGTAAACAGAACTTGCATATTCCAAGCCAGGTCAGTTTGATAGAGAACTAGCTAACCTAGCTTGAAAACTATCCTCGTGTTGCCCAGGCATTACAGACTTTAAGCTGGGCATTGCTAAATAGTGACGCAGTATAAAAAGTTAATTGCTCCTATTTCGCAGGAGTGAAGCACTAGTAACTTAAGACCGGTTTGATAATAGCATCATCTAATTTTCCCTTGCAGCAATTAAGGAAACATTTCTAAAGCTATTTCAAATATTTTCTTGAAATTGTGTCAGTGATTCAAAAATGTAAAAGACCGTAAAAATTTTTTTTTTTTTAGTTTTTATATCTATTGTAAGAATTTAACTGCTAGATGTTTAATCCAAAGAAAATTTTACTAGAAAAAAATATTTGGTTACCTATAAAGCGAAGTGATGGCGCTGCCTTTCAGCCTAAGAAATACTAGAAGAAATTCGAAGCATCCTCGCGGATAGAGGAGGGTGCAGATTTAAGTAAATTTTTCTTTCGATAAATAAAAAAAATTATTCACGTAATTTGTAGGCTGCTGCAACCTCACATTATGTACAACACAAAACTAATAAAGATACTTCTACTTAATAACAGTAACGTAATTAACTAATTAAAAATACTTTTTTTTATTCAAGTCCAAATTTTTTTTCAAGGTTTTGTTGTCAAAAAACTGTAATTTATTACAGACAACTACAATCGAGCTGCCCTCTTCAAATGCAGGTAGCTGTTTCATGTTCGACCAACAACCTCCATTCCGGTTCAAAAGCTGGGTTGCTATTTTTTCATCCAATTACAGTCAACCGACTATAATTCCGTGCCCAGCTACCAACCGAAAAATTTGTTAGTTTTCAAAATCTGCAACTAGTTTTAAATCTAATTCACAAAAATTTTTCTTCTTATTGTTTATTCTTATTCTTGCAGGTGATATTCTATACACAAGCCTTCCAACGACCGCCGCCCACCGCTGTAAAACAAAACACAAGTTTCTTTAACGTCAGATAATATACCTAATAGACAGATATTTTCAAAGCTTAAGTAACGCAATTGAAAAGAATAGTAAATAGGTCCTTACATATGTAATTTCATAATTAGCGTTTTGTCGTACTGACCACTTTGATCTAAAATATTTTCTTTTTGGTTAAAAAATCCAAATTCAAATTTACAAATTCATTTAGCTGGTACATTTGAGTTTTGAAAACAGTCATTCATTAATTTTTTCCTTAAATATTTTTTTTTTTGGTGTCGCTTATTATCGCTCCATGAAAAACATGAAATATCGGTATGTTGCCACGGTAGAATCGTGGCATCAGTGCTGCAGATACATCTCCAAGGATTAATGATGAGTACGGCGCTGGTGTCGCAAAAGAAAACACGTTTTCAGTTTCAACGTTTTCGTTATGGAAATTTTGACCTTCAGAACCAACCCCGTGGACGGCTTGAGACCAAAGTGGAAAATGAAGAATTAAAGTCTATTGTGAAAGCTGATCCATCACAAAGCACTTCAGAGATAGCTGCAGACTTCGGGGTAAGTGACAAAACTGTATTAATCCACTTGAAGCAAATCGGGAAAGTAAAAAAACTTGAACTTTGGGTACTTCATGAATTGAGTGAATCGAAATTGCAAACACGCGTCGACTGCTGTGTTACTTTGCTCAACCGACACAATAATGAAGAGTTTTTAAATCAAATCATTACTTGTGACGAAAAATGGATACTGTACGATAATAGGAAGCGCTTGTCGAAATGGTTGAATCCTGCCCTAAACGAAAATTGACTCAGAAAAAGTGTTAATACAGATTTATAAAATCTAACCAAACGATTACGGCATAAATCTATTGTCAGCAACTGTAAACTATGAAGGAAGAACTAGCTGCTAAATAACCTAGATTGGTCAAGCTCTAGGCCACTGCTGCTTTACGACAATGCAAGACCACACACTGCATAACAAACAACCACTTTGTGAACGTGTAACAAACAGTTAGTGAACGTGGAATTGATTTTGTTCAACCCGGTGGGACGGGCCCCAGTCCTGTAGTGATTCAAATTTTAAAGTGTAAACATTGACCGTGAATATCCCTCACTCCCTCACCCACTACAGATGTGGTAATCTATGTGTTTTCCCCATATCTGATCATTTTTTTTCAATGTGAGCTTCGGGCTTGTACGTTCCCCTCAAGAAATACTGGAGGACTAACAAGGAGACTTTTTTCTGTACACGGACCAGAAGGGACGCGGGAGTTTATTTGCCAGCCGCTCTCCGGTTTTATGTAACCCGGCCGTAACAGCAGACAGATTATACACAGCTAAACCTATCATAATCAAGGTATTTCTCTACTAACCCCGGGTGAACGTGGAGAGGAACCACCAGGCGAGGTTGGACCCCGACTTACCCATTTCCATATATATACATATATCTATATAACTGGTTATCTCACTGAGAACTAGAATTAACTAAGTTGGTCACCAATATCGATCAAACGAGCCGTAGAACCTCTGAAATCCACTAAATAGCTTATTCAGTCTAGTCTATGTGGTATTTGTGGATAAAATATATTAGTAAGTCTTATATTGTAAGTACATGGTAAAGTGTTATGAATGTCTGATATTCATATAATTATAACCTTTCATGACAACTTGTTGGTTTATATACACATTAACTTTGAACTACTGTATTCAGCTTAGATATTTATAATTAGTGAAACATAGTTATTATATAAATAATAAACATAGTTAGGCTTGTTGATTTATATAAGCAATAACTTAAAACTACTGAATTCCTATGCTTTGGTATCTAAAGTGGATAAAATATACTTATAACATTATCTTAATTTTTTGGTTTTCTTTTATTGTTCCCCCGGTGCTCTGAGTGACCTAGAAGAGGGCCGTGGAGGAGAATTTAACATCACAAGTTAGATGAGCTACAATTGAAATGTCTGCGACATCCACCGTACTCCCCAGACCTTGCTTCAACAGATTACCATTTTTACCGGAATTTGGTCAAGGGATCAATGAATTACCTATGAGATGTTTAAATCTAAAGATTTTTTTCTAGTATACTTTATACTAGAAAAATATCCACGCGGACCAGGCAGCAGACGGGTCTCGAACCAGCACCCCAACCAGCTATCGGGGTGAATTCACTATGATTTAAACATTTAACAGTTAAATGCTTAAAAAATAAAAACATACCTATAAGATGGTTAAAGTGCATAGATAACAACGGTCCATACTTTGATTAATTAAATATATTTAAAATATATATATATATATATATATATATATATATATATATATATATATATATATATATATATATATATATATATATATTATAATAATATATGTATTTTGAAAAATGGCTTTATGTTCTTCCCGTACATAACGCCAATTTCATATGTAAGGACCTATTATAATGATCGGGCCAGCCAAAATGTTAGTATTATTTTTCATCGTAAAATCCGAAATAAAACGTTTCATAAATCGAAGCGATACCCAACGGACTTATCGTGGCTACGGTATCTTTCAAATATTTATCTGCGGGAGGGACCCGCCCAAAGGGGAATAGGTACTTACCGGCATTATTTATTACAATCGTGTCAATTATTTAATCCTCGATATGTAGGTACTCCCGTTACAAAAATGTATTCAATTCTGCTGAGTCACCAATCAAATATTCTCATTTCATCATCATTAGTCTTCTAAAGTTCAACAGCACAGTCTTCATTAGGAGTGACCGCAGTGGACCCACGGGCTGGTTCTGGCCCATTCTTGCGACGATTCAGGACCAACACCTTAACGTGCATTTTGAATCACGAAAGAGATTTATTGGTCCGATGAAAGAGCTTATCAAACTTTGTTAATCTTCTACAAACGCCGACCAAAAATTCTGACCACTGCGTCTGCGAGCTGCTCTCTGTGTATAATTGCATAATAAGCTTTTATTTACATTAAACTGACACATACATTAGGCTGCTAAATTTGTTACCCGAAGAAAAAATTTAGGAGGTAAAAATGCACTAACGTCCTCCGCTATCTTGCTAAACACACTGACTACAAGCGTGACCATTTACATATAGACATTTGCTACACTTTTCATATAAAATTCTTAAATCAAAGAAAAACTAAAAAGTACTTGTATTTTAATGCACTCATAATTGCTCTTTGCTACGTAGATATCTTCCGCTATCACTCCGTCTAATGGCAATCGACACATGTTTTTTTTTTAATTCTTTTTATTGGAATTTGTAACTTTTGCTTTAGAGTTTAAAGCATGTCGAATAAAAGTGTTATATAATCGTTGATTGCTCCTCGTTAATCACAACCCATTGCGCTTGATGCCTTCAATATTAATCATATGCTCGTTATCTGCTGCGAATCGGCTCAACGCGCGACACAACTAGGGATGCGCTTTGTACGTCGATAATCGATATTTTTATCAAATACCTACGTTTCATTGTGAACAGGTGATTTGATACGTATTTCGTAATTCTCATTTTTGGTCCTATTGATTTCCCTCCAAAAATGATCATCAAGACTTAAAATATAATACTATCTCTCCAACCCCTGATTGCTAGGTTGGCAGAGTATAGAGCGCTATTATAATGAACATAATATTTCAAGTTATTAAGTTTTACTTTCTGATTGATACAGTAGGGTGTGTAGATAAAATACTCTTTCATGATATAACAATACTTTAATCGTGACTTCTTCCACGTGCACTTTAGAATTCATACAATCACCGGAAAACCATTGTTGATGATAAAAAAATATACAATATCACCCATGCACAAAACAACCACATACAATAGTAATCTATTATGTTGGGTAGAATTTGTTAAAAATATAATATTTTCATTTGGAGAGGTCTATATCCAGCAGTGGACTAAGATGGACTGTTGATGATAATAATAATGATAATATTTTCGTCTCACAGACTATTATTAAGAGTCTTAATTTGTTTATTCAACTAAATCAATACATATATAGACTGTTAAACACTATACCCTGACTGCGCGTCGCGCTTCGCGCTCTTGCATTGCGCAGTCGAGTAAAAAAACATTTACAAGCATTTATCGGAATTTCTTATTGGTACAAAGTTAGGAATTATGAATAGGACGTAACTTTATCCTAGAAAATACAAACACCAATTTTGATTAAGTTATCGATATAATGCTCATACTACATCTCTAAAACTAGTTAAATCGAAAATAATTTCAGTTTAAACTGCACCATTCGTTCCCTCTCATTAAAATATGCCCCTCACTTTCAATTGCTTTTATCTCGCCGTCTGTCGCCATTTACTGAAAGTGAAAAGTACATATATGAAAATTTGTCAACAAATATAACCTCTTATTAGATCTTATACATTTGTATGTATAAGATCTAATAAGAGGTTATATTTGTTAACAAGTCCAAAATTACCCACTCTTGATATTAAATATAAGTGGATTCCGATCATAAAAATACTTGATGCGGCAGAAATAATTGCTTCTCAAAAGATTAAAACCAGAAAGGTAAGAATGGTTATGGGTAAATTCTCACCTTGCTGGCTTTAACCGTAATCCATATATAGCGAAAATTTTGTATGGTTATAGTGCTATAATTTTTCAATTAACAAAAGGAAATTAACACTTACCTATTTCTACTTTTAAATTGTTACTATCAGTCTTCAGAGCTATATACACAATTTCGTTGCTTCGCGGATTTCTTTCCACATTACGGTTACCTTATTTCATCTTATCCGTAATTGCATCCGAGCGCCGCCAGGAATAATGGCGCCGCATTGTCGACGCCCAACGCAGTTTTAATGAAGAGCACTTCAAATCTTTTCCCGCGCTACTACACGGAGTTAAACTGTACATCAGTTCCACTAGATAGCGCTGAACTAAAAAGATAATAAAACATCTTAAATATAGGTCAATGCTTTTGCGAATAATTCCTGAAATGGGTGTGATTTGTGATCTATGTTAAGTTTTTAAGCTTAAACAGTTTTCCTTGTGTATAAACTTTTTAATCCGCCATGCTTCACCTCTCTCAACGGCCTACCTGATGTGATGTGTGAATTATAATTTAGATAATATAACTGATGCAGAAGTAATAAATCCCGCATCAGACTCCCTCAGCCAGTCTACTTACATGATGACTCTTCATTTAAAGTGTTCATAAATACCTTAATAAATATAATACTTAATATTTATAAATACCTTAATACATATAATGTTAGACCAAAAAAGTATATTCCATTTTGAAATAATTTCTAGGTCGTTTTTGCAAGTTTGCCAGAAAATACTTTAAAGCACGGCAATAGAAAGCCGAAATTAATTGCTTTTCTAAAACTTTTATAGAATTACTAGCTGTCCCAGCGGACTTCGTACCGCCATAAAAAATAGGGATTGGTGGTAGAAGAGCGAAAATTTTGGGTTATATTTATTTTGTATGATCTAAATATATAAAAATTAATATCTAAAATTGAAAAAAAAAATTAGGGGTGGATTACCCTTAACATTTAGGAGGATAAAAAATAGA